GGGGACTTGCGTTGACAATGGTTTTGAGGGAGTTGTGGTTGAGGGACAATAGGAGACACGGCATGGTTGACTTGATGTCCTTGGTGGGTTCGGTTAGTGGGTGCAAGAGAGGTGTGGTGTTGTCAAGGTCACAAGGTGGGGTTGCGACGCATGTTGCTTCAAATAGAGCGTCAGCATTTGCTTCGTTTGATGTACCGGCGGTTCCCTCAGGGGTGATCAAAGTGCTGATCACTGGGGAAGGCTGTCTCCCAGATGCAAACTTCTTTGCCTGGAACAGCGTTTCGTGGGTTAGAGAGGAAAGGTAAGTCCTCCAGCTGTTCTCCTTGGCCTTGTCGACGGATTTCTTGAAGGCGTTTTGCACTGATTTGAACTTGAGGCAGCCATCTTCATTACGGGTCTTCTTCATGATTCATTCAGCTTTGGAGGCCTCCCTGCGAAGTGGTTCTAAGACTTTTGGGTCCCACCACTTCTTATGCTTACCTATAGGAGGCTTCCACGGGGCATTGTTGTTGAGGGCGTTTGTGATCGCGTTGATTAGAGCTTGATCAAAATTGTCAATCATCTCCCTGGTTGTTAGTGGTTTGATTGCCGGCAGGTTTGCCTGGACCTCAGTCTTTAGGGCAATCTTCTCGGCCTTCTTCCAGTTTTTCTGGGGCTGTGCAATGTTGGTGTTGGGCGTCGTTGAGTTGTTATGCGTGAGGAAGGTCGTGATGAGGGTCTGGTGGTCAGAAAAATGGCTGGTGAGGTTGTCTTCATCAATGATACATTGCTGGATGACATCGTCCAGTAATTCATTGACCCATGTTTGGTTGATTGAAGTGCCTAAAGTGTTGCGAGAGCCAACACCAAAGGTTGCAACCCCACCCGGTGATTGGAGGCGCATGTCCCAACTTGACATCAGATCTACAAGCCTTTCCGCATCTTTATCCTGCGTGGAGATGTGGGCCGGGTTCCATAGAGAGTAATGTAGATTACAGTCGGTGTTGAGTATTGTGGGTAGCAATTGGATGTCCAGAGGGACACTTTTCATTAGAGTCTTGTAAGCTCCAAATCCCGAGAATATTGCAGGGTCGTTGTAGACACTTATAACAAGCAGTGTGAAGCCGGATGTGAAAGTGACTGTACACACCGCTATATCTCCAGAAGGGGATTGGAGTGGGTTGATTTGGGCATTTAGGTCTTTTCGGATATATATACACGCTCTAGGTCGAGCACTTGTGGTCTTTGCAGCAGGAGTAGGACTGATAAGCATCCAGTTGGAGTTCTCCTGCGGCAAGTAGTCAACTTTGTTAACAGCGGGTTCTTGTAAGGACAGAATGAAAAACAAAGCAGTGAGTTCAGAATTAAAAAGAGAGTTGGAGATGTCTGGTGAGTGGCAACAGTTCAACTGAAGTATTGACGCGGTGTCAGGCAAGGTTATACGTTGTTGCAGTTGTTCTAACATGGAGAGTTAGCAACAACTGTTTCTTGGGCAGTGACGACCAATTTGGGCAACGTACTTGGGTTGTATGGTGGTAGACCCTCAGAAATGTGTGTGGCACATTGTGGGTGGAAAGGGGAGTGTAAGAGGTCATTGTTATTGGTTTCAAACAAGTGTTTGACTGAGGTGGATGGGTCCAGCGCAATCAGGGATCGGATGCACGCCGTGCATCTCAAAGGGGCTATGCCTTTTTGGGGGCATCGATGAGCCTGATGCTCCCCTCCACAGTATGGGCACATAGCCTTTTCTTGGCACAACAAGGACGTGTGGCCGATCTTCCGGCAGTTATAGCACCACTTAGGTGGCTCCCTACCGGCGATGGTTCTGTGTAGGCCTCTACCAAACCAAATCTTGTCTCTGACACATTTTTCAGCTTGATGTTCAGCGTTGAAGCCTATCAGCAGTGTTGAGTACCGTTTTGACGGGTCGTCTGCTATTTTGGGGTTCAGCCACCTAATAAAGGCTGTCTCCTGTAATAAATCAGGGTTGGAAGCTATAAGCTCCTCACTGTGGTGGGTAACCTCCTGGTTGAAAGAGGTCGGGATGCCGTGAATGAGCACCGTGTAGTGAGCTGGTCTCACTTTCAGGGCCATGGTGATGGGGGGAAGCCATACTTGTTCCAATTGTTGGATCTTTTTGGCGTGGGCAGCACTTTCAAAGTGCAGAACTAAATTGTTGGACGGGTGGCGTTGAACCATCTTGACGGTTATGGTAGTCGCGTTGGACTTGTTTACCCTTAGGTTGTTGAGGCGAAAGGTGTTGTTAAAGCCTTGGATGAGCTGAGTAATCAACAGTTCCTTCAGAGCCACTTGCACTTTGTCGACTTGGACCAAAGTCACAGTGTTTGCCAATCTTTTCTTGGCTAGCGGTGCCAAACTTGGTTTGGCCGCTGGTCTTGCACTTGCTGCGGGGGCTTTTGCCACTTTGGTAGCATATGAGCCTGGATTTCGAGCTGTAGCTTGCTTCTGGGCACTGGGGCTTGATAAAGCAGGTAGAGATGAAACAAGAAAAGAGACTTTCTCATTCAGAACGTCGAATTTCTCTGCAAGAGAGCTGATTTGGAAATCATGCGCGGTGTTGGAGCTCAGCGCTAGGGGTGCTAACAGCACAGCCACCCTGGTGGGGCATTTGAGGCTGGATGCCGGTTTATGGAAGAGTGCCTTCTTCGTCGCATTGATCTGGTGCTTGTCATATGCAGCGTTTATCAAAACTAGGATGTTGGCGCATGACTCGACATCGACTTGGATTTTGGCCAGGAGCTGGATTGCAGAGTTTGCTACCAAGACCAGTTTGGTTAGTAGAGCCTCAAGGGTGCAGTTGTCTTCGCCGCCAGGGAGCATTTGGCTGATCCTTTCGGATCAAGGAGTGTTGGGGGTGGTCTTGAAGCCGTCTTGAACGTCCAGGCCTGGGGTGGCCGACCGAGCCTTCTTCTTTGAGAACTCGGCAAGTAAGGGCACCGGATTGCGTTTAGGGATGATGTTGATCTTGTCTGATAAGATCTCGGTCTGGGAGAGGGTCTCATCCAAATTGCCTTGGGGAAAGGCGTTCACATCGATAGATTTGATGATTGCGTCCGTATCCATTGTTCCTTTGACCAAATGGTTGAGGGAGTCGTCCTTGACCATCTGGCCCGTGTCGGACGCGCCAGGTGGCATCAGTCAAGAGATACCGGCGCTTGAAGGACGGTGAGGGAGGGTTAGGGTTAGGTTATTATTATCTTATTCTCCTTTTTAGAAATACAACTTTCTTAATCAACCAGACGGGTTTAATCGTTCAAGACCAGACCTGTATTGAAGATACAAGTTCCCCATCACGTTTGAATTTTGATCAGAAAAAGAAAAGATAAATCTAGAGAAACATAACACTATATAAATAAGAAAAAAATATGAATAAGGCACAACAGAAAACTAGTTAATAATACAATAAGGAACATATCATAAGCTTAAGATCTTAATGATCTGAGAGAAAACCACTAAGTAGAAGCATCCTGAACCAGGAACCTAACGACGGAATCTTTCCAATAGGCCGTGGTCCCGTGTACAGGTTGGCTCTCTGCATAGGTAGGGTGCAGGGATGGGCGGGAGGAAAAAGATTTTTTTTGTTCAATAATAATTTATCTTGATTTGTGTACTTGCATTTATGTGAGATTGTGTTAGTGGTGAGGAATGTGGGATAATTAGTAGATAGTGAAAGTTTTCACATCTATTGGAGTACACGTGTCAATCTTATCCTACCCAGCACTGCCAGCATAGATGCCTCGGGTTGAGAAATCCGAGGCATCATTGGAGGCAAATCCTTGGACAGACCTTGTCCGAGGTTTTTGCCCTGGAAATAACCTCGGATCAAAACCTCGGGAAGCTTCTGTCCGAGGTTTTGCATCCGAGGATACCTCGGATTACAAAATCCGAGGTAAATATGTTGGCGGTGCAGTACATACCATTATTTAGTACTGGGTTTTTCCCGTTTACTTCACTTGTCTCTTGATTTTTTTGGAATACATATGTACCGTCGTGCCTTTGGGTACCCATTTCATTCCATTTGCCTAATTCCTACCCTGTTGCACTGCGCACAGGTGTGTTTCCTTTTTTGTAGCTCTGAAGCGCGGAGGCTTGTTTCCGTGACGGTGTTGCTTACGCTGCACCTGATTCCCCAGGTGTTTTTCCTTTTTTGTAGCTCTGAAGCTCGAAGGCTTGTGTGATTCCCTTATGTGACTAGTTCCCTTTGTTCTCTGCATACGTGCTTTTGCGCTTTTCTCTTTTTCTATTTTACTTTTCTTTGCTTTTCAAAGTCCCTATTTTCTTTCTTTATCAAAACGGACCTTACCAGATCCGTCTTGATCACTTACATCTTGTAGACAAACACTAATTGTAACCGGATCCTGCAGTACCGGATCCGGCCTTTCGCGTCCTCCACTTATCTTGTATCACAACAATCCTGTTGTTCTTATTGTACCACCTTATTTCCTTATTTGTACTTTGCCAAAAGATGCTCGTCTATATAAAGACCTCGCAGCTCCCTAGTAATGAAAACCTCAAGTTACTTCCCACCTATTTTCACCCCCTGAAAGTGAGTGGAATCACACTTGTTGCCGTGTTGCTTATGCTGCACCTGATTCCCCAGGTTGTTTTTACTCTTTACATACGGCGCTTAAAGCATTCAAACTTCATTGAGCTCTCTACTTTGCAGTGTCCTGGTTAGCACGGCGTTGGGACCTTTTCTCAGCACAGCACATTACTACCATCATGACTGAGATCAAAGTAGTGTCAATTTACTGTTGAATGTGCACCTGTTTATACAACTTGCTGTCGACCTGCGCTGCAAAAAATGTGCACACTCCGACTGTTTGTACAAAACAATGTAAAACTCAGAAGAATACCATACTGTACAAAATTTTGAAAGCAACCAAGTTCACTGGTGATGATACAGTTTGTAGGTAATCATTGAAAAGAAACAAGTCCATATGTAAATGATAGAAGCACTACAGCAGGCTACATGAGTGAATCTTTTGTTACTTTGATATCTACAAGCTGATTGGGTCCATAATCCCTTCTTTCAAAGGCTCAATAGATGGTATCATCCTCCACCTGAATTGATTTTGAAGTCTTTCATACTCACCCATCCTTGTGGAGACTCCGGATTTAAATACATCTGTTGCATATGACAAACTTTGCAATTGGACCTTCGCTGGATTTTTTGCATTGTCGTGTTTCAAACTCCCTGGGCCCACCTCAAGATGAAGATGCTTGTCTTGAGTCAGTATGTTCCTTGCTTTTTGAAGTTCAAGCAAGGGATGTGTTGGAAGAGGGTAAACTGGAGTACTAAGGCGTGTTCCAACATGCATAGTGTCGAGTGATGGCAAGCTCATGACATGAGGTGTCGGCTCAGGGGATGAAATCGAATTGCAAAGAGTCATGCATCTGGGACTGCTGTGTCCTTCACTGTCAATGTGTTTGGTGTTGACCTTTGTGCCTATGGTGGTGGCAAAACATGGGTACCAGGGGCCAGTGATCACTTGTACCTGGCAATCCACACTTCTGTATAGTAAGCTTGTAGGTGAAATAGGTAAAGTTTCCATTTCCGGAGAACTTGTCAGCGCTGTGAAATCATCCTTCCATGCGGCGAAGTCGACATGAGTCTCATCATATTGATCAAGATCATGCTGATCAGATTGGAGATCAGAATCCGTGTCCGAGTCCCACGCGGCTTTGATGAGGCTTTCAAACCACATCTGGTCTGTGAGGCGAGTCGAGATAGGCCAGGGAGAATGAAGTGACTATCGAGGACTCGAACAAATATCAACAAAAAATTCTCTATCAATCGAGGAATCAAGGATGCCACTCACTTCGGATGATCGGCATGCGCCATGTAGATTTGAGCCTTGCCATGCCTTGAGTGTGACCTAACAATTTAAATGAATCAAGAGGAAGCAAAAGAAAGAGAGTCAGATGTGTTGATACATGCACTTGCGTTGTGGTCTGGGTCACATAGGTACTTCAAGAATTGTAGACTTACGATTGGGTGAAAGCCTCTGATATGAGTGCGTACTTTATAAATGAACTTGTTTACTATTTCACCTATACCATTGATGACAGATCCTGGAGCCTGTGATTGAGGCGGTAAGGAGAGAATGCAGAAATATGTTAGTTGAGTATTGTGATGGTAGAGGGTAGAGCTACATGTCCTCAAGTTTTTTGAAGAGTGACACACTTTTCCTATCTTATGCAACATTTTTATGCTTTTGACACGCTTACCCCCTTCCGGTAAAGATGAAGCTGTTTCGCCAGAAACCAGCTGGCGAAAGGAGTGCCGCAATCTTCGATTGAGGATGCGGGAGCCATCAATCTATGACAAAGAAGGGTCAGCTCAATGATATCTAGGCATACTCAAAACTCTGGCCATGTAGAAAAGTTGATGTACCACTTTGTTCGGGAACTGCTTTCCCATTTAGTTCTCCTTTTCCGTTCGTAGGAGATGTGCTGAGAAGAGCTTGGGAGAAAAAATATCTTCACAAATGAAATTTGAAATAAGATAGATGATGATTTGCTTCGATTGAGCTTCTGTAAGCTTCATGAGTTCAGAGAATTGCAGGAGCAGGTACCAAGGGTACCGGTGATCCATTGCTTCCCGCAATCAATTATACGCCCACAAGGCCGTTACTATGAGAAGGTATGATCAGCCGAGATATTCAGCTGGACTGAAAGTATGATGGCTTGTATGAATAAAGTTCATATGCATGTATAGAGTCGACACTCGCCACCGAGATATGTGTCCCCACAAAAGATATCAAATGCCACTGCGGTTGCAAAGACTCCATCTGTTATGCTGACAGAATGAAGAGTTGGATGCCTTGCGACCCATTCAACAAGTTAGCCATGGGCCATGACAACACGAACTGCACGAGATTTTGCACCGGCGAAATTTTTGCAACTTGACAGACCAATGATCAATGACTTTAGCGGCGCCTTTGCTCGAAAAAGGCTTTTGAAAAGTTATAATTATCAAAACACAATCATCACTTTTGGTAACCGTTGTCATTTCATGATACTGAGCAACTGTAACCTGCTCCCACGTCCTCCCTGAGCCCCTCTACACTGCCGCCCTTCACAAAAGGACAGCAAGCACATGCCGCTCTTTCAAACCACACAATCAGAATATCCTGATCTTTAATCACTTTGACCAAAATGGATCAAATCCACATGGATTTTCATGTATACCAGTACTTATACCAGCTCAGTTGAGGTTGATTGAATGAATATTTCATAATCTTACAAATGAGCCCTCTAAAACAATTGTGATCTCATGCTGTAAGATCGAGGATCACTCGACCTTCACTGGGATTGGACTTGCAGGCCAAAGCTTAGACTGATCTATGACCAATGTGTATTTCACTGGGCCGATAGATTTCAGGAGGGGAACCATACCCAGACCCCAAAGAAAGATCAGAAAAGAACTAGAAACTTGAGAGAGGAGGAGAAGAGATCACCAAGAGAAAAGAAGGAAGGAAGGAGAGGAACAGACAACATATACCCCCTCTATACGGACTTAATACTAACTAGAGAATATGCGGGCATGCCCGCAACAGGGGAACTCTTATATCATTTTGTATCCAATTGTTCCAAATTGGTCAACATCTACTGTAAAAACTGGATAATGTATAGCAACCACAAGGAATGGCACATTGCTCCACATCATACATATTTATAAACCCATCCTCCCAAGGCATTCAACTGGCCATATTGTTTTATCACTGATACCCCTTGACCAGGAGAATATTAGGGAAAAATCAGTATCCCACTTCAAGATCTACAGAAAGATAATACTTGGAAAGATTGACCTTTATTGACCCCCTCCACTATTAAGTGTCTCAATGAACCAGTTGTTTAAGGCTCCCATGGAGAAAAATATGCAAGGCAAACAAAGTTTTCTAAAGTGGTCACTGTACTTAGTCTGAACAACAAATACATGTTCAGATTTGTCTTGTCACTGTGACAGTATATGGGAGTAAAAAGTTATGTTTTAGAATTTATATTCCTGACATCAACTCTGTGTTTGAATCCATACTTTGAATGATTTAGATATTTTGGATTATATTGTTCACCATTGCACAGAATCAAAAGTGAAGCAAGAGTAGAATGGGGATATGAATCATTCATCAGGTTTTCATCTTGATGAATTAAAGATAAAGGAAATGTAGTGTTTGCAGTAGGAATGGACACTGCAAGTAAATCATAAATTGAGTACAAGCTATATTAATCACCATGTAAATATTTGTGTAGCACGTCGACATGCACACACAAAAGACTTTGCTTAGAACCTGTAAAGACCCATCAAAGAGGTTCCACAACAGGTGCATCATCCACTTATCAACTGGGACATTGAAAGTCAGTTGACCCCAGCTGATGACAAAGGATTCCGCAAATCCTATGAATAAACCACTATTCACAAAGGGCACACAACAACACTCTCAGTCTAAATCTGACCAAAAGACTTTGAGATTTAGATCAAAACTCTCCATGTGTGCACGTCGACGTGCTACACAAATATTGACATGGTGAATGGTTTTGTTTAGGAACATCTTTATTGCTCAAAGAATTGATAGGTTTTAATCAATTTGGAGTAAATACATCCAGTTGATCTGGAAATTGATGATCATCACAAGTATCAATGATTTGATTTTGTTGATCAAATTCAGCAACTTGAGGATATGATAGATTCTGATAATTTGCCAGTCCAATTCTTCTGAATCAGGTATGCACATTCAATTCTGGGGTGGACCTATTGTTGTTGTCTCCGTGGAAGAATTTGGTGATTGACTAGAAGGGAGCACTGATCTAAACTTGCTGAGCCGGGTGTAAGAAATTGATATTTGGAAATAGGGTTTCATACAAAGAAATTAATTTTGCTTCTTCCTTTACTTGCAGAATAATAAAGGACTCAATATTTTTAAGGCTTCAATTTTTCACTCACAAGGATTGAAGTGGATGAAGATCTGAACTCGAGTCAGTCTCTTGGGATCAAATTGTGGGTGTAGCTGAATCACAATTCTCATTCTTCATGAGTTCCAAAATTGTCTTCTGTCTGAGAAGTATTGATGGAAAAAATCAACAAAACTCAATTTAACAACTCTCTTTCTGATTTATGGACTTATCTCTTGTCTAGTCTAACTATTGGGTATGTATGGCTATATATTCTTAGAAAACAGAAGGAAGATATGTATCCTTTTGAAACAATATTTTCTTTTTAAATTACAAGATTGTAGGCAACAAATTGGAACAGATAAAGATAATAGACCAATAATTAATAAAGGTAGTTTTATAATGACTTGATAAGTCAAAAGAAACTTAGTTTGGGCGGGGTGGATTGGTTTTCCAAGTTCAATAAATCCAGATACCACGAGTATATGGGTATGCAGAAGTGCTATTTGTGGATAAATGAAAAAAAAAACATTATCCAAAACAGTAAAAGGAACAAATGATGGATAGGATACTCACAACTTTGTAGACATTTAGGGTGCAAGCCTTTGCTTTGGTGGAGGGGGTAGTACTTGCCATGGTAATGCGCAAGAAAAAAAAGCAACAAGAACAGAATAGCAGATGAGGTTGGAAAATCCAAGCTGCATGGTTGAATGATTCAAGGGAGAGTAAGAAGAATCAATGAGACTTTTACCTACAAGGAATAAGGCATTGGGACAAAGCAGTTGATACAAAAAAGCAGTAAAGTTCTTTGACAAGTGAAATGATAAGTTCAAAGGCTAAATAGTGGTTTGTTGAGGAGGGACAGGTTTTTTATTGAGAGAACGCAGGTATATGCAGAACAAGTGGATGAGTTGAATGGATAAAGATCTATTGCTATGGGAAGGAGGAAATTGGTGTCGAGAGAAAGCAGGAACAACCAGGTACTACATACCCTTTTTATCATTCAAGTTAAAGGCAAACCGTGTTCACCGGCAAAACTCAACAAAACTCCCAATTACTACTCCAAAATTGAAGGTTTACACGTCCTGAACATTTAATTTTGCTCTCACATGTTCCCATCACTACTTCACACCACGGGAATTAATAAGTATGAAGCCCGAATGAGCAAAGTTGTGGTGTCCAAGTCTGCAACTTTCTTCAATCACGGGTTTTGTTTGCAATACGTTCACATTACGTTTGCAGGTTCCCCTTGAGCTGCCCTCATGTTTACATATGTAGACCCTCATGGATCCTCAAGTAGAAGAAAAAATTTGTCTTTCATTTTTGTCCTCTCTTTTTGTGGACACTTTCAATCCTCTTTTAACGTAAGTCAAACAAACTCCTGCTTCACTGCATCAATCCAATTTCATGCTATGAATCATGTATCTTTCTCAATTATTTCAAATACCTACCCCCTCTTGTTTCTCTTAATCAGAAAATCTACATGTAGGATTATGATTGTCCTTTCTCTTCCTAATTCTTATATTTGCATTTTTGTGTTCGATTTCAATTCTGTTTGTAATTGTTCTTTGAAATCAAGTTCAAATTTGATCAATTCATTTGTGTTTAGACTTTGTTTCGATGATTATGTATGGAAAAATACCTCAATAAGAATTATAAACAAATCTCAAAGGATTGATACAACAAGTTGTTGATGTCACTCAAGGACCATTGAATTTGGAGTTAACCTTATCTGGATTTGAGAACAAGCTAAGAACGAGTGTGTTGATAAGTTACTGGTGCGGATAAGGTCCCTTTTGAGGCCTTTGATCATCATGTGAAAGGAACTGAGGGAGACAGAATTGTGACAAAACAAAATACATGATACATGAAATTTGACTAGACGTGCGCATACAGGGCAGCCCGAGGGGAACCTGCAAATGTAATGTGAACATATTGCAAACAAAACCCGTGATTGAAGGAAGTTGCGGACTCGGACACCACAACTTTGCTCAATTGAGTTTCATACTTATCAATTCCCTCAGTGTCATTTGACAATACTTGCATTCCTCATTGTTACCCTTGGATCACCCAATGCAATCAACCTCACCAACACCACCCTAAGTGACCCAACATTGTTACCAATCACAAACAGACAATCCTTTCTCAATCTCACCAACAATCCAAACCGCCCTCAACACCAACCCACCTTCCTGTACGTGGTCTCGCACCAGGCTCGGGTCTTGATAAGTTGCACATATTCTGTCTTCTTGACTATCGCGGTTCTCAACTCCATAATTGGTAGCTACACATATGTGCGGCCATCACTGTCATGAACCTTCTTTCTAGCAGTTCATCAAACAATCCATTCCCCAGTCTGGCAATTCCTTGAAAGATTCCATCCTCAGTCTGAAAGTAACTTCAAGAGGATCATCTTAAAGCAA